TTGAAATCCCACCAGCAGTGGATGAGCATTCCCCTTGTCCCCACATCCTCTCGAGCATTTGGTATCATTTGTTTTCTTGATCTTAGCCAGTCTGACTAGGATAAGATGAAATATTATAGTGGTTTTAATTTGCATTTCCCTAATAATTAATGATGTTGAACACCTTTTAAGATGTTTCTTAGCCATCTTTAATTCTTCTTTTGAGAACTCTCTGTTCAGCTCCTTAGCCCATCTTTTAATAGGGTTACTTCTTTTCTTGATTTATTTTTTAGTTCATTATAAATTCTGGATATTAAACCTCTGTCAGATGTGCTGCTGGTGAAGATTTTCTCCCATTCTGTGGGTTTTCTCTTCACTTCCTTGGTTGCTTCTTTTGATGTACAGAAGCATTTTAGTTTAATGAGGTCTCATTTGTTGATTCTTGGCCTTGTTTCCTCAGCAATTGACGTCCGGTTTGGAAAAACCTTTCATATGCCTATATCCTGTAAAGGATATTGCCAATGTTTCTTCTAACAGTTTCAGAGTCTCAGGCTTCACATTGAGATCTTTGATCCACTTGGAGTTGACTTTTGTGTATGGTGAAAGATAGGGGTTTAGTTTCATTCTTCTACAGATGGAGATCCAGTTTTGCCAGCACCGTTTGCTGAACATGCTGTCTTTCCTCCAGTGAATATTCTTGGCCCCTTTGTCAAATATCACGTGGCTGAAATTGCATTTACTCGTATTTGGATCTTCAATTTTGTTCCATTGACCTATAGATCTATTTTTGTGCTAGTGCCATGTTGTTTTTATGACCATAGCTCTGTAATACAGTTTAGAATCTGGTATAGTAATCCCCCTGGCATTGCTCTTAGTGCTCAGGATTGCTTTGGCTCTCCCAGGTCTTTTGTGCTTCTGTATGAGTCTTAGGATTTTTTTTTTCCAATTCTGTACAGAATGTCATTGGAATTTTGATTGGCATTGCATTGAATTTATAAATGGCTTTTGGTAGGATGGTCATTTTCACAAAGTTAATTCTTCCAATCCATGAGTATGGGAGGTCCTTCCATCTTCTGATGTCTTCCTCAATCTCTTTTTAAGAATTTAAAATTTTCATTGTAGAGGTCTTTAATGTCCTTGGTCAGGTTTTTCTGAGATTTTTTTTTTTTTGCAGCTATTGTGAAAGGGAGTGTTTCCATGTACTCTTTCTCTGATTGCTTGTTATTGGTATACAGAAAGGCTACAAATTTTTGGAGATTAATTTTATAGCCTGCCACTTTACTGAAAGTATTAATCATTTCTAGGAGTTTTCTGGTGGAATCTTTAGCATCTCTTATATATAATATCATATCGTCTGCAAAAAGAGATAATTTGATCCCTTCTTTTCCAATTATTGCTCCTTTAATTTCCTTCTTGCTTATTGCTCTTTCAAGAGTTTCAAGCACTATGTTAAAAATGAGTGGAGAGAGTGGACAGCCTTGTCTGGCACCTGATTTTAATGGCAATGCTTCCAGTTTTTCTCCATTTAGAATGATGTTGGCTGTGGGTTGAGGTATGTTCCCTCCCGTTCAATTCCTTCTAGGTCTTTGAACATAAATGTATGTTGAATTTTGTCAAAGGCCTTCTCTGCATCTATTGAGATGACCATGTGATTCTTGTCTTTGAGTCCATTTATATGATTTATGACATTTATTGACTTATGTATATTGAATCATCCCTGCATCTCTGGAATCAGGCCAACTTGAACATGGTGGATGATCTTTTTGATGTGTGTCTGTATGTGGTTTGCAAGCATTTTGTTGAGAATTTTTGCATCTATCTTCATTAAGGATATGGGTCTATAGTTTTGGGGTTTTTTTGTTTATTTGTTTGTTTGTTTTGTTTCTTTTTTGGTTGTATCTTTACCTGGCTTTGGTATTTGAGTGATGCTGGCTCCATAGAAGGAATTTGGAAGTTCTCCCTCCATTCCTATCTTTTTGAATAAATTAAGTAGTATTGGATGTAGATCTTCTTTAAATGCCTGACAGAATTCTGCTGTAAATCCATCTGGTCCTGGGCTTTTGTTAGTCGGGAGGTTTTGTATTACTGTTCCAATTTCCTTATGTGTTATGGGTCTGCTTGAGCTGTTGTTCTCTTCTTGGTTTAGTTTTGATGGTTCCCATGCTTTTAGATACCTATCCATTTCTTTTAGGTTTTCAAATTTGGTAGTGTAAAGGTTTTTAAAGTATTCCCTTATAATGTTCTGGATTTTTTGTTGTTGTTGTTGTTGTCTGTTGTGATGTTTCCCTTTTTGTCTCTGATTTTGTTGATTCGGAGGTGTTTTTGCTTTCTTTCATTTAACTGGGCTAGCAGTCTGTCAATCTTGTTTAGCTTTTCAAAAAACCAGCTCTAGGATCCGTTGATTCTTTGTATTGTTTTCTTTCTTTCTATTTCATTAATTTATGTTCTGATTTTTGTTATTTCTTGTTGTCTGCTGGGTTAAGGTTTCATTTGTCGTTTCTTTTCAAGTGTCTTGAGTTGCAATGTAAGTGATTTATTTGTGTTCTTTCCAATTTTTTAATGAATGCACTTAAAGCTATAAACTTCCCTCTAAGGACTGCTTTCACCATGTCCCTGAGGTTTTGTCGCATTGTATTGTCCTTTTCATTTAGTTCCAGGAATACTTTTATTTCTTTCTTAATTTCTCCTTTGACCCATTCATCATTCAGGATGTGTTTTTTAATCTCTGTGTGTTGATGTAGTTACTAGGGTTTCTTCCAGTGCTGATTTTAAGCTTTATTGCATTGTGGTCTGATAGAGTGCATGGAATTATTTCAATCTTTTTGTATTTGTTGAGGCTTGTTTTGTGTCCCAGTATATGGTCGATTTTGGAGACGGTTCCATGCAGCACTGAGTAGGAAGTATATTCTTTGGTGCTTGGGTGGAATATTTGGGAGATGTTTGTTAGGCCCATTTGATGTATGGTATTGTTTAATTCAGATGTCTCTCTGTTACTTCTCTGTCCTCTATCTAATGGAGACAATGGGGTATTGAAGTCCCCTACTATTAATGATTTGGGGTTACTCTGGGTCTTAAAGTCATGTAGTATTGTTTTTATGAAGTTGGGTACACCAGAGTTTAGTGAATATATGTTCATGATTGTCATTTTGATTTCTGTTCACATTCTTGGTGTAGCTGTAGACTTCCACAGTTATACCTTCATTAAGATTGCTTCTGTAACA